TGTAGGATGAGGACATTGGGTCTGATTCCCCTCTTGAGTGCACCATAAGAACACCGGAGCTGCTCTGTTGGCTTCAGTGGGTTCACATCAGTGTGAGTGAAAGAAGACTCATTTGCGCCCATTACATTTAATACATCACTCTTCATTTCCTTAGCAAAGCTCTTCCCCATACACCATTCTGCTGCTCAGGCTTCAGATTGCATTCCCAACTATTAGAAGGGAACTGACATGAAGGGAAATGCATTACATGATGGCTACATTGCTGTGATCTCCCCCTGCTCCTTCAGGCTGGTCTAATTTACAAAGGATTGGCCCTGGCCCCAGGATCAGGGGAACACAAATTTGGCTTAAAGCCACTTTTCCACCAGCCTCTGGGGTCTTGTGCCAAGAATAGCTCAGGCCTGATTCAAATCTCAGTTGAACTGGTTTTTCAAGTATAATTCCATTGACTTCACTGGTCTTATTCCTGATTTAGACGAGTCTGAATGAGACTCACTGTGTTCCAAATCTGTGTAGCACTGTTTTGCCTTTTACACCCATTCTCTGAGTAGCTTACACCACCACTTGCTTTTCCACTGAATTTAGCCCACAATGTCAAGGGGTTGAAAGGCAAATACGAAACGTGTGTATCATTCAAAAAAAACCCAGATCAATTTTCTTCTACATCTTTATCAACAATGGGATGAATGAGATTAATCTGGCCTATTATTTTTAAGCATGTAGAATCCTGGGCTTTACAACAAACAGCCAGTGTGTGTTCTCGGTAGTTTGAGATAGAAATGGTACATTTGTTACTACTAAAGGCTCTGCAAAAGGCCCATTAATTTTTATTCTAAGATCCTCCCTTCCCAGCTCTAGCCTGCTCCCTTAGTCTATTAAGCCTTTGTCCATAACAATTCTCAGTATAATCTCTCTCCCTATGCAACATTAGTTCTACATTGCTAAACACCCCCAGAACACACCGTATGTAGCCATGTGAGATATTTTTGAATTTAATCCAGCTCTGAGCTCGATTAATGGTGGCTCATCCCTTTAATCTTAGGCATGGATGCTCAGGAAAGTGTACTGTGCTGCTATTTCAGTGTGGGAATCCTGCCCTTTCCCTGACAATTGATCCACAGATAGGACAGCTTGGTTGCCTTAATAAAAAAAGAAAGAAAGAAAACAAAAAAAAAAAACCCTCACAAAACCAATTTTGCTTGCAGGTTCCTGTGTTAGGGCCACACTAAGGCTGCAGCTAGAAGCACTCAAGGGATAGAAAATGCAAACATTGCATTTGAGCAAACAACTTTAACTTGGGTGTATGTACTATGGTACAGTCTTTAATTACAGGATTTCATTGTATGAACTGAGAATCTAATATTATTGAAAAATAGCATTTTATTGCATTGAATTATGTAGGGAAAGGTATGTGATTACAAGAATGGTATCATAGTGCAAGGATTAATGGTGCTTGTTCAGCCTTAACTTTTGTATTTCTAGATTTGTGTCCCTCACTGCTTTTTTATTGTACTAACTTAGGGCTAAATCCTGATTTCCTTACTTAGGCAAAACTCTCACATGAAGTAAATGGGCTAAATCCTATCAGATGCTAAGCACTTGCCTCTCCAGTTAAGTCAGTGGGCCAAAGCTGAAGCCTTTAGTAATATTTTCCTTACCCCATCTGCGACAGTTTGTCCCCGCTCTGAATGCCACTGGATGTCCTGGGATGCCACTGAGTCAGCCTATTCTGTCAGCCTGGGTCCCCTTTTCCTGGCCTTGCTGGGCTGGGCTCACAAGCCTCTTCCAGCCAAGCACACAGGCAAGGCCACTCCCAGCTGCACAGAGAGACAGAGATCCACTCTGGAAAGATTCAGCCTTAGGGACTTGCCCCAACACTCTGGTGCCCACTCCATTTAAGGGGTACAAACCCAACGGTTTTATGAAATTCACCCCCTCCCTCAATGTGGAGGGAGATATGCACAACTTCTTGCCCCCCCCCATTAGAAATTACATAAACTGGATTATATTATAAACAAGAAATAAGTTTATGAACTACAAAAGTGAATTTAAGTGGTAAAGAGATAGCAAACAGAACAATGCAGATTACCAAGCAAATAAAACAAAGCATGCAAACTAAGCTCGATTCACTAAAGAAACTGGTTACAAATAGTAATTCTTCACCCTAGATATTGTCTTAGGTAGATTCTTTCACAGGCAGATATCTTTCCAGCCTTGGTCAAGCAGTTCTTCCCCCTCCCCTCAGTTCCAGTCTTTTTGTTTCCAGGTGTTTTTAAGTATCTCTTTGGGCGGGGAGACGGAGGAGTAACAAATTGAAGACCTTGATTGTTTTCCTCTCTCACCTTATATTTCCCCACCTCCCAGTGGAAAAGTTCAGCAGTCCAAGATGGAGTTTAGTATCAGGTGACCAGGTCACCTGACTCTGTAGTATCACAGCGTCCATGAGTCAGTGGCAGTATAGAGAGTCCACAAGAAAGCCAAGCCTTTTCACAGTCCATGGTCCTTGCTGAAGGGCCATCAGCCCTGTCTGGCTTTTCCATTGTTAACATTGAAGACTTAGCAGTGGGTGTTACCCAAAGTAGCATAGTTTATATAGAGATACATAGTCAATATTCCTAACTTCAGGTACAGAAATGATACAGGCATACAGACTGGATAATCACATTCAGTAAATTATAACCTTTCCAATGATATTTTACAAGACCCATCTAGCATAAAGTACATCTCAGTTATATTATATTCATATCATAAGCATGTTTTCATAAAGAATATGGAGTGCAACATCACATCATCCTCAAGCAAATGCTTTTTTGAAGCTTATGAGGGATTGCCTGAGTGAAAATGGAGTAAGAATTTCAGGATTTAGCCAACTGGATTCCCCTCTTTCTTTATAGAAGTGAACATTAAAATCAATCAGATGGAAAATAAAATTATTCTCTAAGCCAGGGGTTCTCAAACTTCATTGCACCACGACCCGCTTCTGGCAACAAAAATTACTACACGACCCCAGGAGGGGGGACCGAAGCCTGAGTCTGCCTAATTTGCGAAGTCAAAGTCAAAACCTGAGTCCCACTGCCCTGGGTGGGGAACGGGTCAAAGTTGAAGCCCAAGGGCTTCAGCCCCATCAGGGGGCCTGTAACTTGAGCCCTGCCACCTAGGGCTGAATCCCTCAGGCTTCAGCCCCAAGCCCCAGCATGCAGCAAGTCTAAGACAGCCCTGGCGACCCCACTTTGGGGTCCCAACCCACAGTTTGAGAACTGCTGCTGTAAGCTATAGAAATATTGTAAGCGCAAATAAAACTGACCGTATCTTTCTTTTGCACTCCTTTATCCTTTCCATGATCAGAATTGTGAAATGTTCAGATGTGCACAATATATTGAAAAAAGGAGTACTTGTGGTGCCTTAGAGACTAACCAATTTATTTGAGCATAAGCTGTCTGAAACAATATATTGATTTGTTCCAAAAGCTTTGTACTCTTCATGCTAGACAACTAATTGGACCAAATCTCAAAATCCTGATTCAGATTCACTTGTACTTTACTTAGGAAGCACTGAAGTGCTATGGCTGCATAATCAGGCCTGCAGCTGGTAATGGAGGATGCAGAGGGAGAGAGTATGTGAGACATACACTGTGGAACTATCCATGGTGCTGTAGTTTCTCTTGGTTTTCATACAGAAGACATGTAGATTCCATATAGAATCGTGTTTCTGTTTTCTTCCAGGCCTACACTATGGGAACTATAGCAGCATAGGCCTCGAGCACAGATGCAGACTACAGGCTTGAAAGTGATTTTTCTGTTTGTGTAAGAACACCACCTCCCTGAGTGACAGTAGCTAAGTCAACAGAAGTACTCTTCAATTGACCTATCAGTGTCTATATAGGGGGTAGGCTGGAACAGCTGTGTCATGCAGGGTTGTGAATTTTTCACACCCCTGAGCATCACAGCTATGTTGACCTGAATTTGAAGTGTAGACCAGGCCTTTGTACCTATGGACTGTATGGGTATAATACATTCATCCTGATGTCACTCATAAAAGCAATAATGTTTACTATATGGGACACAGGTAGCTCAGGAGATAAAGCATTGGACTGGGATTCAGGACATCTGGGTTTCTATTTTCAGCTCTGTCACTGGCCCTCTGAACAACCAAGGGCAAGCCACTCTCTCTCTGTGTGCTTCCCCCCTCTAATTGCAAAAAGGGAAGCAATGATACCTACCTCCTCTGTAAACACTTTGAGTCTATGAATGCAAAGCCCTTTATGATAGCAGTATTCTTGCTATGCCTAACAAACACACTTCTGTACTGCAGTAGACATTCTCAGACATGAAAATAATCTCACTGTCATATACTAGAGTCACTTTGTAACAGTTTCCCACATAGCAGTGATGAGGGGGATCACGATACACTGTTCCCAAGTAACCCAAAACACTGAAAGAAGGCAGTTAAATAAACTGGGCTTGGTAGCATATGGGGGAAAACACTCTCAGTTGTCTCAAAACCATGTATTAGCCTAGTGGTTTATGCTTTTCAATGAACCAGCTTATGTGAAACACTACATTTTAAATTTTCCTATGTACATACATTTTTAAAATAATGGTAACTAATTGTTTTACTCTTGACTTACACTGACCTCTAGTGCCAACAACCTGACAGCTCTGAACAATTCTGAACATACAGTTAGAGAAGAGCTATTACATGTATTGCAGTATGTAGCTTTCCCTGAATATGTCTGTATTTAAAAATTAGTCACTCACTAAAAGATGTTTCGAATGTCTGGTTATATAAAAATCTGATACAGTGACACTTGCAGTTCTAGTATTAGTTGCTTTATAGTCACTCTTTAGCATGTAATATATGAAGGGCCTACCTTTTCCTCTGCCTTGTTTTTTGTATAGCCCTCTACAACAATATTTAACCAATTAGAATGGTTGCATTTTACATCTGCTTTGCACTCCCTTTGCACTGGTGTTGGTGACAACACAACATACAAGGCAGTCTCACGCTTGTATTTCCTGCATTTTAATAGAGGTCTAAGAAAATGACTGGAAATGGTGAAAACACATCTAATACACAATAATTATCTAACAAAATCCAAATCTACTTTGAAACTTATGCTTTTACTTAAATTCTTCAATTATTTAGCCCTTTTCTTTTTTGTTTCAGGTAATTAATTTTTTGTTCAGTACTACTCAGTCCTTATGCTTTTCAACATTCCAAGTTTATATCTCATATTACTTATAAAACAGATGTTAAAACAAGCCATTAACACTCTTCAAAACATAAACATTTAAAAAATAAAATTATATGCACAATTCAGAATCCTGCCACCTAGAGGGCATCTCCTGCAGTTCTTATTCAGTATTATGTATAGCTCTCTGCCTAAACCATTTCTAAGGGCTTGTCTACACATGGAGTTATTTAAGAGTAGCTAGTGTGCTATAAATTCATCTCCCATCTTAATTCAAAGTAACCTTCTTGTGTACACAAGCCCTGATAGTCACCACCACAGTATCTAAGGCCCTGACTACACTAGAAAAAATAGTACCAGTTATTCAACAGTGGTGTGGTTGCACTATTCAAGTGTTAGAGTAGAAAGGGGTCAGAGTTTTGATGGGGGTGTTTTCATCATGTCATGAAAACTTGCAGTTCAACTGTTTTTCAATAATGTATTCTTAAGCATTTTCCCCTGCTTTTTATTTATTTAATTTTTCGGTTATGCAAAATTATGGGTTTTAAGCATTTTCCCTATTTTTTATCAATTTAAATGTTCATATTTGCAGGAAATTATGGGGCATCAGACAAATATTTGATGACAGATGTTGAGATTAAAAAAATTAAACTTTATAATTGGTACAACACAAATTGTCAACATCACATATCAAAATGTACACAGTAAATATCCTTAAATCAAACTAAGTTTTCCAGCAGCATTTTTCATTTTCTTTCTATCTTTAAATTCCAACTGTTATCAATGGAAATATTTTTTCATCAGTTTGTGTGAGTATGGTGAAATCGACATTTACTGACAATAATCTAACCCTTCCAAGCCTAATTATATATGGCTATGGATGTTATTTAATGCTCTGCCTTGGAAAATAGATCTTATAATCTAGCCATTAAAAGTGATTTTTGCAAAGCATTTCTTTGTTACTGCTGACATCAGTAAAACAGAAAGCCTAGTGAGCCATTCATTACATTGACATAGCTTTTTTACATGAGCAGACATATTTTGAGGTTGTTATTACATTTAAATTTAACTCATGTTTTACATCTTGCTTATTGAATAGATAACTGGTATAACTGTGTGTCACATTGTCTGGAGACAGGTTTCACTGTGTGTCACGGAGTCCCCGGGCGATGGTCTGGAACTGCTCCCTATGAAGCCAGTCAGGACTCTGGTGAAGTCTCCTCTGTGCGAGCAGACTGTCTTCAGGGCAAAAAGCTCACACAGCTTCCACCTTCCTGCGTCTGACCTTGGAGCATTCAGCATCCTCTGCCCCTCCGTGCGCTTCCCACAGCAAGTCTGCCCAGGTGGAGTCCTGTGGAAGCCAGAGGGTCCTGCACCCCAGCTTTGCAGTCAGATGTGACTCTTAGCCAGCCAGTAAAACAGAGGTTTATTAGATGACAGGAACATGGTCTAAAATAGAGCTTGTAGGTACAGAGAACGGGACCACTCAGCCAGGTCCATTTTGGGGGGCAGTGAGCCAGACAACCACATCTGCACTTCACTCCACGTCCCCAGCCAGCCCAAACTGACTCACCCTCCACCCCCTCCTCCTCTGGGCTTTGTCCCTTTCCCGGGCCAGGAGGTCACCTGATTCCTTTGTTCTCCAACTCTTTAGCTATCACCTTGCAGGGGGGAAGGGTCCAGGCCATCAGTTGCCAGGAGACAGTGTCGGCCATTTATGTAAACTGGCCCTTTGCTCTGCAACAATTACACCCCCTTATCCCACCACCTAGAGACTTACGAAATGCATACGGGAAACTGAGGCACCCCTACAGTATTCAGAGGAAACATTAAGAACAGTCCCACCTCGTCACAGAGTGGTAGCCATGTTAGTCTGTATCAGCAGAAAGAACGAGGAGTACTTATGGCACCTTAGAGACTAACAAATTTATTTGAGTATAAGCTTTCGTGGGCTAAAGCTCACTTCATCAGATGCATGCAGTGGAAAAAATAGTAGGACGATATATATATAGAGAGAACATGAAAAAATGGGGATTGCCATACCAACTCTTAACGAGACCAATCGATTAAGGTGGGCTATTATTAGCAGGAGGAAAAAAAAACCTGTTGTCGTGATAATCAAGATGGCCCATTTCAAACAGTTGACAAGAAAGTGTGAGTAACAGAAGGGGGAAAATTAGCATGGGGAAATAGTTTTTAGTTAGTGTAATGACTCATCCACTTCCAGTCTTTATTCAAGCCTAATTTAATGGTGTCCAGTTTTCAGATTAATTCCAGTTCTGCTGTTTCTCATTGGAGTCTGTTTTTGAAGGGTTTTTTTTTTTTGAATAATTGTGACTTTTAGGTCTGTAATTGAGTGTCCAGGGAGGTTGAAGTGTTCTCCGACTGGTTTTTGAACGTTATAATTCTTGACATCTGATTTGTGTCCATTTATTCTTTTGCACAGAGACTGACCAGTCTGGCCAATGTACATGGCAGAGGGGCATTGCTGGCACATGATTACATATATCACATTGGTAGACGTGCAGGTGAACGAGCCTCTGATAGTGTGGCTGATGTTATTAGGTCCTATGATGGTGTCCGTCCCTTGAATAGATATGTGGACAGAGTTGGCAATGGGCTTTGTTGCAAGGATAGGTTCCTGGGTTAGTGGTTTTGTTGTGTGGTTGCTGGTGAGTGATACATGCCATCATGTGCCAGAAATGCCCCTCTGCCATGTACATTGGCCAAACTGGACAGTCTCTACGCCTCTTTATGGGTGTGAGAGGCAATTAGCATAGTCTTAGTATGCTTAATATTTATTATAGTAGTGTCCCACAATGGCCCATTTAGTTTTGATAGGCCTTCTTGATGGTTAGACGATCCCTTCTGACTGGGTTCAAAAGTTCAGAGCAAACTTTTTTTACAGTCATAAAGCAAACCAATTAAATATTACCTTATAGCTTGTGATAAAGATGTTGTAAGTGAGACTAATGCACGCATCAACTTACAAGCATTTCATAGTCTAAACATGTTATAAGTTCAATACCTGTTTTAACCATACTAACACACAGGTGACCTGGACTGGTTTCCAGCAATGAATTTGTCAATATTCAGCTGAGGCCTAAAGCGTTGGCAAGAGTTGGCTCCAGGTCTGCCAGCATCACACTGTGTATTTCGCAAAATTCAAAGAATTGCAGCATACGATCTAGCAACCATATAACTCAATTCATGTAGCTCCCCTCTTGTGTTTCCCCTTATTTGTATATGTAATTAATAATTTCTACCTGTTAAATTTAACCTGGTCCCTAAGCATTGTCCCTATTTTCTTTCAGGTTTCTCAGGCATAGATTCCTAGTCTTCCATTGTTTCACCTTTATTATACTCACAATACTTTTCTCCACATGCCTATTCTTCATTATTCAAAAATTATCTGAAATGTCTTGGTTCGACTGCTGATGAACACTTGAGTCCACTGAAAAAGTTCCGTTGATTTCAATGGGCTTTGAACAGGTCCTAAATAAAAAATTAAAAAGACACCTCAGTTTCCAAATGTTTGTCTCTTTTTTTTTGTCTCCATCATTTAGTTCAAATGTGGTGTTTTCGTTTTTCCATTTCCACTACAACTCGCATACTACCATAGCAGCATACCTTCTTTGTTTCAAGCTTCAAGACAAGATCAGTCTCACAGCTACAAATAACTGTGAGACTGATATATTGTGGAATCAAAGATCTCCATAGGTGTAGACAAATCTATGAGGAGTTTACTGGATCATTTGAGAGACTGCATTTGGTGTATGTATATATTAGTGTTTCTGTGTATGGCTCTAACATTTTACTGATGCCCAGAAATTGCATACCTTTGGGCAAGTCCACCATCAGTGTATAAAAATTCCATGTTCCTCCAAATAAGACCATAGCTATTTTATACATTTGTTTAAGTTTAACAAACTATACCTCCAATAAACAATCTTGAAGTAATTTTCTCTAGGATGCTACAACTAGTAAATGCTGCCTTTTTGACCTCTTTAAAGTGGGTGATGAATGATTTGACAGGCACCTCTTTACTCCAACATATCCTTTTCAGCATGCTGTTTTTGAGCTCACCCATGTAACTGAGAGTGAAATTTGGCCCTGCAATGTAGAGTCTGTTGAAAACTGCTACTGACAGTCACTATCTCTTAGAATTGAGGAGAGGGAAGCCACTCCAATGGGAGTTATGTGGGTTCAGAGCCACTCAAAATCAGGCTAGTGATCAGGTGACTAAATATGAATTGGGGTGCCTAGTTTAAAAATTTTGGCTGAAGTGACTTTGTTTTTTATTTTCCTCCTAGCCTTGGCTATCTTTGGTACCTCTGTGCTGTAAACATTTGCACAACATACTGAAGAAATAAAATGTTATGTACTGTAAAAGGTAAGCAATATTAGGATTAATATTTTTCTTAATTTACTTATCCTTGATTTACTTGGTGGTTACATCTATGTAAGAACTACATATTTTGGATAAACTCTGTTTATAAACTGGAAGGAGGCATGCAGTTTGCTGCACAGGAGAAGGATGGTTTCTGAATGACTGAAGGTACATTCTTAGGAGTCAGAAGATCTGGGTCCTAGGCCTGGCTTTGCTGTAGACTTTCCTGTACAATCTAGGGCCAATCACTTATTTCTGTGTGGGGATAATTCTCCATTTAAATTGAACCTTGTGCAAATTAAGTTGTAAGTCGATATGAGATCACAACAGTAGTACTTTGCTCAAGCACAAATGGCTACCTGAGGTGCAAGGCAGTAGAGAATCAGTCAGATTCCTCTGTACTATCTATGAAATAGGCCAGTAATGTATACATACCTCTCTGTATTGCTGTGAAGCATTAGATTCTTCTACCATGGTGATGAGTGCAGTAACTGGGTATTTTTACAAAGCATCCTGAGCTTCTTCTGACAGGTGCTATACATTATTTTTATTAATAGCAATAGCATGGGTAGTAAAGAATTGGCTCTATATCGTGCCTTCGATTTTTCCACAATGCTCCTGTTGCCTTGAGTGCGTGACCTTGGTGAACAGTGTGATGTCCCTTGTGATAATGCAGCGCTCATATTTCGAAAAATAACTCTTAAAAAAAAAAAAGACACATGGCTTTGTTGCATTAGCTGAGTGAGTCACGCCCAGCCAAGGCTGGAGGTTCATCCAGGCACTTGATAGTTTTATCTCACTGCCAGGAGCAGGCCTCTCTACAGGCCGGCAGCCCCAGGGGGCTGCTTTCACGTTGTGATTGCCTCCTGCGCAGTGCCCAGCCACACTGTGTGTGGACAAGAGCCTTGCACCCATGTTGCCGCCCTGGTCTTGCCCCCACTGAAGTGCATGGGGACAGGATCGGGCCCACGTTGCCAAATGGCTGTCACTGGGGGCTCCAGCCCCTGGCCCCCGCTGACACTAGGCAGACACCCCCCGGCCATAACGCCCCCATGCAAAGGCATCTCTCGCCCTGCGCCCTCCTGCGGGCTCGCGGCTCCAGCTCAGCTCCCCCGCCCGAGCTCCCGTCCCGCGCAGCCGGGCCAGAGGTGGCGGCAGCAGCAGCAGCAGGCGCGGCGCGCGCGTGTTGCCCGGGCCGCTGCCTTCGCCGGGGCCTGCGGCCTTCGCCCCCGCCCGGCGGCGCGTGTCCCCCCGCGCGGCGCCCGCGCCGCTGGGCGCGCCCGGCGGCAGCATCATGCCGAGCAGGGCCGGCCTGGGCAAGGCGCTGAGGATGTCTCTGCAGAGGAAGTCCAGGATCCATTCCGCGGCTGGTAAGGCAGGAGGGGCGGGGGCGCGAGGATGCCCCGCCGCCGGGGGGGGCCGGTCTGGCGGATGAGGGGGAACCTCCGCCTGTTACCTACCCCCGACCGTCGCGCAGCACCCGCCTTGTCCTCTTTCTCTTGGCCGCGGGGGTGTGTGTGTGGGGGGGTTGTTGTTAATACCGTGCAGCTTGACGTTAGCTGTCAAGCTAATTTATAGCAGTTGCCAATTTAATGACACACAGTAGCAGCGGGAATCCTGTTCAGGCTTAGACACCCCCCCCCGGCCAGGGCAGCCAATGAGCGCATTGATTCGGGGTACAATCATCTCCCCTTTTGCTGGGGGAAGCCACAGTTCTCTCCGCAGCAGCGGTTTCGCGGTGTGCTTTTGATGCCGTCTCCCGGCCGGGTGCCTTTGTTTGCTCTGATGCAGTGTTGTTGCATATGGGACTTGTGCAAGGGCTTGCTGCAGTCTGCAGAGCTACGAGCAGGTCACAGCGCTGCAGGTTCGGGTGGGTGTGTAATAGCCTCCACGCTGCGCACACACACACACACACTCCAATAGATCCGCACAACACACAAATACACACGCAACACAAGACAATACACTGGCTCTGCCATACCGAGAACGCGTAATGGTACATCCAAAATCACACAAACAACACATAGAATATCAAGGTTGGAAGGGACCTCAAGAGGTCATCTAGTCCAACCCCCTGCTCAAAGCAGGACCAATCCCCAATTTTTGCCCCAGATCCCTAAATGGCCCCCTCAAGGATTGAACTCACAACCCTGGGTTTAGCAGGCTAATGCTCAAACCACTGAACTATCCCTCCCCCCGAATCTGCACCAACACACCAAGACAAAGTCTGCGCAAACATACACATGATGCCTATGAGCTTTGGTAACCTGAATTGTCTTTCATAAGGATGATCCCTCCCCGGGTACGCTATGAAGCGTGAGTTAAGCAGTGAGTGTGGAGAATCTGGGGCTCATAGAAAGGATGCTGCCCTTTAGACACAGCATAGCTAAGGACATGTTCTCTAGGTTCAGAAGCTGTGTAATCAGTGCCCCCCTTTGTTTTTGATGGTTTGTTTTAGGCAGAGGAATTCCTTATGCGCCTATAAAATTGTTTTATTTCCTGTAGTGGGGGGTGGGGAAGGGATGAGGTAAGTATTCTTTTTACTGGAGGTAAACCAGCAAGCACATTCATAAGTGAATGTTCTTGCACTGAAACTCTGATCATGATTGGAGAAATCTTAATGCAGGCACTGGTCAATAAAGGGACAGCGAAAAGAAAAGGAGGACTTGTGGCACCTTAGAGACTAACAAATTTATTTGAGCATGAGCTTTCGTGAGCTACAGCTCACTTAGTAGTTACTGGAATTTCACTTGTGCCTTCACTTGCATACGATGAAAGTCAACTTTATTGCAATATGCCATTTGATATAACTGTAGGATTGCCTAGGGGTGGATTATAAAATTTCCTAAAATGTCCATGTAGGTGAATTCCTTTCATCTGCTTCATAAGAAAGTAGAGGAAACTAGAATAATTTGGGGTGAAATCCTGGCTCCACTAAATCCCCAGTGAAAAGGTTCCCATTCTGATCTCACTTATTCCAGTCTTACTGTATTATATACCTTCAATAGCCTCAGTGGAGGTACTTCTGATTTAATCCTTGTTTACACCCAGGTTTAAACTGGTGCAACTTTTATGTCTGGACAAGGCTTTACACTGGTGTGAGAGCAGAATTAGGCCTTGTCTGTAGAGTTTTGTTCACAAAAGTCAGCTTTCACCGACAAAACAGTGGAGGTGTACACACTACAATGCTTTTGCCTTTGACAAAAGTCTCTTCCTTTGCGGATATAATAAAACCACCTCAGTGAGAGGTGTAGAGCTTTTTGTGGGAAAGTTAGATAGACAAAGTGTCAGTGTAGACACTGTTCTTGGTTATGTTGCTGTAAATGACCTCCAGGAGATGTGCCACAATGCCAATCCTGACCGCTCTGGTCAGCAGTTCGAACTCCGCTGCGCTGCACCTAGGTCACAAGCATCTGCCCCATCCCTTTTAAAGGACAGGAAATTTTTGAAATTCCACTTTCTGTTTCCTTGGCGTGGAGAGCTCATTCCCACATTTTCCCACGGCAACTCCACACAGCAAATGCTCTCCCATTTGGAGCTCACCTGAGTTGTTGGATCTGCTTGCTCTGTGGGGAGTGGAGGCTGTGCAGTTCCAACTCTGCTCCAGCTGTAGGAACTTCAGTATCTATGGTCAGATTTCTCATGGCATGTTGGATAAGGGCTATGAATGGGACACGCATCAGTACCGTGCGAAGATAAAGGAGCTAGAGGCAGGCATACCAGAAGACAAGGGAGTCAAACCGTAGCTCTGGTGCTGCATCAAAGACCTGCCACTTCTATAAGGAGCTGGATGCCATCCTTAGTGGCAACTCCACCTCCACTGCCAAGAGCCCCAGGGATACTTCAGGAGGGTTGGAGACAGTGGACAGCAGACTCAACCCCAAGGACAAAGTGGTGGACGAGGAAGTGGAGTTGAAGGACAAGATGGGACAGGTGACAGGGTCGTCCAGTACTGAGGCGAGCCAGGACGTCTTCTTGACCCCGGACGGTTCGAGCCAGTCCTAGCAGTCCATCTCTGGTGTGCATGATTCAGGAGAGGGGAGCTCTGGTAAGTTATCTTTTTGAGTAGATGCTGCTTGGTTATATGAGGTAGAGCTGTCCTTTGCTTTGTTTTATGCTAGAAGTGGGTTAAGGGATAGAAATGTACAAGACTAGCTGTGTTTGCCTGTGCTTCACGTTTCCCTGTGCAGCTACGCAGTGGGTTGGAACAGTGTGTTAATACACAAGATTTAATGGGAATCATCCAGAGATCTCTCTAGGACAGTGGTTCTCAAGCTGTGGGTCGGGACCCCAAGTGGGTCACAACCCCATTTTAATGGGGTTGCCAAGGCTGGTGTTGTCCCTGGGCCCCAGCAAGTCTGAAGCCCAACCCCACCGCCCAGGGCTGAAGCCCAAGCCCCACTGCCTAGGGCTAAGGTTTCATGCTCCCTGCCCAGGACAGAAGTCCTTGGGCTTCAGCTTTGGGCCCCCCCGCCAGGGGTGGTGGGGCTCAGGCAGGCTCAGTCTTCGGTCCCCTCTCCTGGGGTCGTGTAGTAATTTTTGTTGTCAGAAGGGGGTTGAAGTTTTGAGAACTGCTGCTCTAGGAAACTTTCCTGGAGGTACTTGCTAATCCTCTGCCGAAGGTCCCTTGGCAGAGCTGTTTTGTTCCTGCCCCCATTGCAGGAAACTTTCCTGCTCCAATTGGCAATCACTTGTGCAGGGCCCAAAGTGGCACAAAGGCAAGCAGCATAGGGAACCGGTCTGAAGCCACACACATGCAAGAGATGTACCCTTGTATACTTGCTTATCCTCAGGAGTGAGATTTTGGCTTCAAGGACCCTTGCCCGTGGAAAATGGTGGCCGAATTTACAATATTGTCCCTAGTTGCTTGCAGTGATCCTGTTAAAAGAACACCAAGACCCTTTTCCCCATATTGAGGCCCTCCCCCACCCGCGGCCAAACTCACCATATGTTGGGCATTTGCTGAGCTGTGTGCCTGCCAAGGGACAGTGAGAAAGAGGTGTATTTTACTATTATGATTCGATGCAGTGAGTGCAGTAACAGTCATGCTTTTGTTTATTGTTTCTTGTGTTTGTGCAGATGTGGCCTTCAGGGAAACCCCCTACACACTGGTGGAGCTTGTCTGCCACATAAGGAAGTGACTGAGGTGGAACAAGGAGGACATGTTTCGGGAGGTGCCCCAATCCTCTGATGAGGCAAAACAAGAACACAGGGTGTGAGAGAGACAGTTAATGAAAATTTTAAAATAGATAGGCAGGAGAGGAAGGAGAGCCAGAAGCAAATTTTAGTGGGCCAGGAGCAGATGATAAAAGTGATGGAGGAGGAAACAGAGATGTTGAAGTCCCTAATCATGCTGCAGGCAGAATACATGAGTTCTCACCCCCACCGCCCATCCAGAACGGCTTGCCCTGCCCTCCCCAAACTCCTCCCACACATTCCTTGCAGCTTCCCATCCTGTCCCAGTACCCCGTTCACTCCACCCCTTCGGACAGCTTCCAGAATGCTAGCTGGAGTTACACACAGCTATGGGAGACTCCATCAGGAGAGTGCCCTTCACTGTTATCTCCCTTTCCAGCAAGCATTTTCTGTGTGTTGTTAATTGGTATTTAATAAAAAATACTCTCTGAAAGATGATAATCAATCTTTATTTGTCTCCTACACATGGTGATTGCTGCTGGAATTAATACACAGTGGTGATTGGTACATTTGCAGACTACAAATCACAGGAAGCAATCATCAAAATTTTCATGCAAGGCAGCAAGTTAACAAATCATAGGAGAAGGCTTTATAGAAAGACACATGACTGGAGCTCATTGTCCAATTTATCTAGGTCATGCTGGACCCTATCCCTTTCCTACCCTACCCTACCTGATCATCATACTGCATGATCGGCCACATTGTGTTCATAACAGTAACCACAACAGTAGAAAGCAGTGCAGGATCCATCCTTTCAGGCAGAGACAGTGGGCGCATAGTAAACGGGTCGCTGAAAAGTAACATGAAACGTAGTCCAAAGCCCATGGAATGATGAGACAGAAAAAACTGCATCATGGGACATTGAGCCCACACCCATGATGCTCTGTGATCCACTCTGCCTTCCCACAACTCCTAGCTGCAGAAGGTGGCGAGTTGCACAGTTGGATAGCTACTAACCAGGCGCTACTCTCGCTGTCAGTGCTGGAGCACCAACTGTGGATGTTCTTGACGGACAGAAGAAGCGTTCTGTGAACAGCACAAGTGATGTAATTATACCAGTTTTTGATTGCTGGTGTAACTTGCATCGAAAAAACTCTGTAGTGTAGACAAGGCCTTAGATGCTATTTAGGAAAGTGACACAAAGGTTGCTTGCTGAAGAGCTACAAAGTGTTACTATCATAATTGCTTGGTGAATGGGTCAATGACCTTTTATTTTGAGTATTTATCTGGAGGATGACAGAAAACTTTGAATAGTCACATGCATCTCTTTTTCACTAAATGGACTAGACAATTTGCCCAGGAAAAGTTAACTATGCTGAATGGAACCTGCTATGCATTTTCACAGTCAGGAACTGTCTGAGGCTACACACAGTCAGGATCAACTGAATTTCAAAGTTGTTTGTGTGATGGCATTGCAAAATGCAGGGACCCTTTCAGAAGCGATGGGATGTGTGTGTGGGTGTATCTTTTTGAATATATGGTCTGGATCTGCTAACCCTGTCTTGATCCATTGCTATTCACACTTTCCTTAGTTACCGCATTTCAGACCTTTTCCCTCTCACA